GGGAGAAATACACAGTGGAAAACACGTAAAAGCTGAAATCTTTATGGGAACAGAAAAAGTATTGTTTAATTGTCGCAACAAAGATTATTTCAAGAAAGAATCAAGAGCAAACGGGAAATATATCACACGCAAATTGGCATTTTGTGACGTAAGCTAAAAGCATGTAAAAGTAGTGCGCGTGTAAGTAACATCTAAAACATGGCGTAAAACAGGTTGCATGAGATAGTTGTAAGGAAAAGTTGTACCGTGTAAGTGGGCCTTAACAGAGCATATCACGTATTCCTTAAAGGCCGATTTAGGCTATTAAGCAATTGTTTAAAATCCCTACGACAGTTGTAGCCATGTCGTAAGGATGACTTACGCAGGTTGCATGTGATGGTTGTAAGCTAAAGTTGTGTCGTCTAAATCGGCCTTAACACGTTTTAATTCTTACCCAAAGAAAACCTTTTTGTACAAATCTGCTTTTTGGGCGAACAAAATTCCATATCGCGTGACCAATGGCCAATCAGGCGTCGATGATAAAGAGACAAAACTCCCCACCTACTGGASCCTRCCGTTTCGTCGTCTTTGTCTTGGAATGAAGACCGCTGGCCAGAAGAGCCCGAGATGGATTTCCTTGAACTATAAGTAAGTGAAAAGCTTATATATTTGAATATTTTTGCGTGACCATGGCATGACATATTTTTGTTAAAACCCTCGCTCGCTCATCAGCCATGTACATTAGGACTAATAGTCTTACACGTGCACGCGCAGATAGGTATATCTTCGAGAGTTTCATTGTGATATCCCACAAGCGATCAAAACCAAGCGCCCTTGCTTACTCCTATGTCAGCGTATTTTACATCATATAAACTCCAATTAAATAAAACAAACGGAGTATCCATATTCACGTGTTATTTCCTCATGTCAAGATCCTATTTTATTAAAGGTTAATATTAATTGTAATCTTATTTTTGGTAGTAAGAGTGTACTCGTTTTGGGCGATTCTCTCGGTTATCAAAGCTTTTTAAAGCTTAAAAGATGTGGGAAAATGCTTGCAAATACTGAACACTAGCGAGAACACTTTTCAAGMTTTTTTTGAAGTTTTCTATTGTCGTCTCGCTTAATGACGTCATGTGTGATTWGGCGAAGTGCATCCTGGTATTGATAAAAGTACCAATATGGCGGATGTCTAATTAATCTTAATGATTAAGATTTTTTCGCGAAAACTACGAATCATTTAAAAGATCATTAAAGAAGATGCATGCACACTAAACTATGTTCAAAGACCTTTCTGGGAAATAATTTTAAATGCTTGATGTTTGAAAAAGCCTGAGAAAACCGAATCATGAACGAAAACCCAACAACATGCTCAGTTTGTACTTTTATCAATCCCATGATGCATCTCGTCCACCAAGAGGAAAGGACCATTTTTCTGGAGTTCTTTGCTTGCAGGATTCTTTTGTTATATTATGTCAAATAGCGATTATCCGCTTTGAACTCTGGTAAAATGAGTATTTCGGATTGAATAAAGATAATGTTTTCAGGGCGAGTTCGTTGTACTCTGTGATCGCAGACGGTAAATACCGCAAAGTCTCCATTGGTCGCAATGTGTGGAAGTCCCTGATCGCGGGCTCGTCATTGCAGAGGAACTGCAACCGAGAGGGCTTCAATGTTGTTSCTGGCGAWGTSMACCACGAAAGAGTTAGAATKGGRATATYAKCGAATAATGAAAACRYRTGTKRCARCAACGATTCRCGTATCGGATTCGGGGGGGATGGCATAMAATGCGGTCGTGGTAGACTATCTACCGGTAACTGYGCACGCSWTKSAGGTGACAACGGRGACAARACTACTCCAGCWCATGGTTATATCTTAGCTCAATGATCGGACGTTCTGGTCACAGAAGATGAGACTCTTTCAATGTCTTCTTTATATTCACAAGCAGCTTAAAAACAATTGCTACTCAAGAATAAAAAAAAATTATTTCAAACTTTAGAATTCTTTATTTACGTTATGTCGACTCACTTATTTCAATATTGATTTTGTCCGAAAGCTTGATAAAATTTAAATTGTAAATTGAACGTCATTGAAAGAGTATCATTAGAACTGATCAGATTTCAATTTTAATMGAATTGAATAAATACACTAAACTAAAAGGTAATGAAACAGACACTGATGTAGTCAATGAGAGATATTAGTTTTTCTCTTCTTCAATCAGTTGTTAAAGTTAATGATAATATAAAAGAAATAAAGAGCATTGCAAAATATCGTATTGCTGTACAGTTCTATTATGACATCGGTGTATAATGAGAGGTTTAAGTTTCGCTATAACCCCATCATGGTAGTTGGAACACCTTAGTACTAGGTTTTCACTACTAAACATCACCAGGTTCATCCACTTCATAAAATGAACCTTCTTCATTCTAAAATACACTTTTAAATCTGTGACAGACTAGTTTTTGACCCCGCGAGGCAAGGGATCATTGACGTAATACCACAGGTAACCCGCATTTTGCTAAAAGCGCGCGCCGATAACAGTACTAGCGAAAAAGCGTGCGCATTCGTTCTTTTCCTTCTCTCAAGCCATAGTTGGGCGGCCTGTGATTCCCCCAGATTCTCTCACCCACCGAATTCTTTCTGCTAGATGGCAAAAGTGCGGGCTCTGTGTACGAGACTGATTGCTTTCTAATGAGGAGTTACCTCTTCACGTAGCAAACGTTTCCCTAATTGTTGTCTTGACAAAGAAATCYTCGAGAAGTCTTTCCACAGCTTCAAAGACAAAGTGCTGATAATGCACAGCGTCTTTAGGGATTTCTGGTTTTCCTGTTCCATACGGGTAACTATCGGTCAGCGGGAATGCGTCGATCACGTGATAGCCTGCTCGGCACATGGCTTGGGTCGCGTAGGCATTGAACAGGAGGACACGCTGTTGAAAYATAATAAGATACGTGATTATGGCAAACCCATCAAATATACGACATTRTGTTTGTCCTAGATTTCGTGGTTGGTTGAATTGGTTGGTATTAGGTTGGTTTGCTGRTCTAGATTGTTTGGTTGAATTTTGCTGGTTTAGATTGGTTTCTTAATTGAATTGRTTGGTATTATAGATTGGTTTGCTGGTTTAGACTGGTTGGTTGGTATAAACATTGGTCGGTTTTCACGATGTAGATTGGTTGTTKCTGATGAACATACACTGGAAACAATCGCGCGTTTTAAAGGTTGTAAATTTGATGTAAATATGATGTAAGTGTCCAAAATTCTGTAAATTCAATAGAAATCATTTACATCAAATTTACAGAATTTTGGACACTTCCATCATATTTACATCAAATTTACAACCTTAAAAGCACGCTATTTTTTCCAGTGATACATACAATGTTTTAAAGTGCACATGACACCTTTTAGAAAAACACTTTTATCCGAAAGTTTACACGCTGCCAACTACTTCTGCGAAAAAAGAAATAGATTTTGAATTGTATTTTCTGAGTTATATACATTTTAAAATTGAAAATGCAAATAAGTGACGTCAACTAAGGAATTGATCCAGTCTTTTTACATTGTTTGCGCTATGCTGTTCTTGGTTGAAGAGCACAAATCATCAATCATAGTAATAATTGAGAGCTGAAAATGCTTTTTCCAATGTAACAAAAAGAATAACGTTCTCTTTCATGATTTTGTATATTAAATCATTCCTTAGTAGACGTCACTTCATTTGCATTTTCTAAGTTTTAATCGCCCATAACTTACAAAATACAATTTGAAATCAATTTCTTTCTTCACAGATGAACTTAGCAGTATTTTCTCTTTTGGATGAGAGTGAATTTCTAATGGTGTCATGTGCACTTTAA